GGATTGGAGACCCCTCAGACAAGCTGTGGGTCCCCAAGTCCTGTGGTGTGACCTCAAGGACACCTTCCACAGGGACTGGAGACCCCTCAGACAAGCTGCGGGTCCCAAGTCCCGTGGTGTGGCCTCAAGGGCACCTTCCACAGGGAGTGATGATGCCTCGGAGAAGCTCCGGGTCACCAACTCCCGTGGCTTGGCCTCGAGGGCACCTTCCACCAGGAGTGGTGGTGCCTCGGAGAAGCTCCGGGTCACCGACTCCTGTGGTCTGGCCTCGAGGGATCTTGATAAAAGAAGAAGAATCCTCGGAAATGCTTCGGGTCAGTAAGGAACGAGTTGGCTGCGAGGGGACTCCTCACAGCACCGCTCTGTCCCGTCCTGTCCAGACGCGTGCTCCGAGCACAGTGGCGTGGCCGTGTTGCCCGCCAACAACTATATCAGGATGTGTCACAAAGGGCCCTTGGACACACTGCCCCATCCCATGCCATTGGCAATGACCACCGTGTCACAAAGGGCCCTGTGACACACTGCCATGTGCCCGGGGGCCTCCCCTATCCCTGCCAACCTGCCCCAGGTTGCAAGGAATCCATTCCCTGAGGTGTCTGAGACAGCTGCATGTGGACTTTAGGAACGGCTCCAAAAAGGAGCAAACACTCCCCTCCTGTGCCTGCTCACGGCAGCAGAAGGAGCACCCTCGGCTGCCGATGCAGCCACAGTGGGAAGGGCACGGGGCCTCCACAGAAGCTGTCATGGCCTCCTTGGGAGAAGTTCTGGCTGGTGGCCATCACAAACACACGGAGTGTGACAGAGAAGCAAACGTGGGCAAGGGCATGAATGCTGCTCTGACCCCTTTGGCCAGGGCTGCACCGAAATTGGCAGGTGTGGCAAGTTCCTGCTGAAGGAGACCTGCCACTGCCCCAAGTCCTTACAGGGGTTTCTCCATGGAAGTGATAACCTGCAGCACAAAAAATATCTTTGCTTTGAAGGCACAGGAGAATCTGGCATTTAATAATCCTAAATTTTGAAAACATTACTTCCCATTACTCAACATAGGGAGTTGAAAGAAGTTGCAAACTTCCCAATGTAACTTCATTGGGAGGACCCGAGAACATCACATATTTGTAATTTTTGCTTCCTCTCTCATACCTGCAACTCATTTGCCTTCACATGGTCCATGGAGAGTCAGTTTCAAAAAATGAACAGAGGCACCAAAACTGGGTGTTGTTTGGTTTGCAAACCGTTTTCTATTAAGGGATAAGAATAGACTCTTTCTAGTAAGGGATAAAAGCTCTCAAGGAACAAAGTTCCCTCAGTGTTACAAAAGCACCTCAAACAAGTGAGGATCTTGCTAAAACACTAATCCTCCTCCGGTGCAGATAACTAACTGGCCAGGAAAGCCTTTGAAGAGGTCTAAGCAAAGTAAAATCTGTATTGGGTGACTGGGAGTTTAGAGAGTGAGTGCTCCAGCCTTTCTAAGTCCTTCCACCTCATCCTATGGACGCTCATGAGGGTGCTTTAAAGTTCAGGCTGACTTGAAACCTTGCCTGCAGCCATGAGCGAGCCCTGGTGAAGTCTTCTAAGACCTATGGGTTTTCCTTGGTGGTCAGGGTGGATTCTCTCCCAGGACTGACTCTCAGAGGCCTGGTCTTTCCCCACCAGCCCTGGATGGGACCTGGGTGCTTTGGGAGGTGGCTCCTGCTGTGCCCAGTTTGGGCTGGCTGGCAGTGGTTCCATTCCAGGAGGTCCCATGTCACTGAGCTCTTCCACCCCTTGCAGTGTTAGTAGGTGATCCTGGTGGCCATGCGTTTGCTCTGCTGTACCAGCTCAGCTAAGGCAGAGTGTCATCTATGAAGTTGTATCACTGTGGCCACTGTGGTTTCAGCTGAGCTGCATCAGTAAGAGGGGCTTCTAGTCCTGTTGAGCACCAGCACAGAGTACACATGGCAGATGTGGTGGGGGATGCAGATTACTGTGTTCAGCTTGTGGGTGAGGAGCAGAATCAGCTCAGATGAGGCTGATGTGGTTATACATGCACAGTTTGGATCCAAATCCATGTTCTTCCACTTATGGGCCTGGAAAACAACAGCAGGTGACTTTGGGAGGATACTGGACATAGGACCAACAAAGCCCCATGGAGGACTTTGTTTTTTATCTTCAAAGGTGTGTTTCTCCCCACAGGGGATGTCCATGGCAAAATTCCCTGTGCTTCCATGGGGAGTGCCCCGGAGTGGAGGATAATTTTCATGTGCTTTGCCTGCTGCTGCCAAAACCACCTCTTCCAGGTGACAGGCCCAGCCTTTAAGAGGGGGTGCCCCACTGCCCATGTGGCACATAGGAATCTCTAGTACCATGGTGCCAGGGCTGGCTCTCTTCAGATTAACATTCATGAGGGTGCTGGTAAGGTCCTGAGCATCCCTGGTCTGAAGCATTGATGGCCCTGGCAGAGGGCCAGCTGCAAGTGGAATAAACCCTTTCCTCAGGGACTAATTGCTGGTGGCCAGTCCAGTCCATGGTACAGCAAGTAAGGCTTAGTGATGAAACCAGGCTGCCTGTGCCAGGGCTGCCAGCTGGGGGGAGAGGGCTGAGTACTGCCAAAAGACATCTGGTGCAATATTCCTGGGAAGTGTGGCAGAGGCACACTTTTTGTGGGACCAGTCAGGCTTGGTTTCAGCAGGGATAACTCACAAGACTGATCTGAACAAGTTACTGGTCCACGTGCCCCACTGAGTAGCAAGTGCTGAGGGTGTTTTGGGGCACCCAGCCATGGTTAGCAGCTGGTTTCCCCTTGAGTGGATTTGCTCTGGTTTGAACTTCTCCCAGGCTGCTCTTGGAAGATCACCAAGCGAAGAGTGCAGCAACACAGTTTCAGCTTGGTATTGTCAAATGGGTCCAATTGCTTTCCTATTATTTTGGCTGACAAAGCCAGTTGTACCCTTTAACTGTCACAGTTTCCAGCAAGCTGTCTGTTCATCTCTACCCCTAAATGTCATCAGCAGTGACATGGATCCCTGAGAGTCTTGTTAGTGTGTCTTGCTGGCGGCATCTCTACTTTTGATCCCAAATGACAGTCTCAACCATCTGTACTTAGATACTGGTACTCAAAACAAGGCAAGGAGTCCACTTTCATTACCTAGTAGCTCACGTCAATCTCCAACATTGCCATTCATCACTGGGGATATCTTTTTTTTGCCTTTTGCCAAGTCAGGTAAGGTTTCTTTCACAGTAGACACTTGGATGGAGGTTGTTTAGTGCACTGTTTAGCTTGCTTGGGTCTGTTCAAGTGCACAGCTCATTTGCTGCCATGATAACTGTGCCATGGCTGGAGATTTCCTTGAGCTTCCTTTGGCATTTGTTGTGTTGCTCTCATTATATTTTCTCTTAACATGCTGTGTAGTCAGGGAGATACCTGCTGACTGCTCATGTGCTTGAAGACTGGAGCCTTTTAGCACCTTGGATGTGAGGAGATTGGGGATGTAGTCTGCTTTGGTCTCGTGTTTTTATTCTGCCCATGTTTTCATTCTGCCCATGTTTTCATTATATGAATATTTCATCCCAAGTCTGGCCTCACTTGGATTACAAAATTACACAATTCTACTGAAGCTGCTGTATCCAATACCAATGGCAGCCCTATTGCTTCTTCTTCCCATTTCAGGCTTATTGTGCCCCAGATCTGGGACTCAACCACTCACTTGGTGCTGTGTGGCAGCTGTCTCTTAGGCAGCTATGCAGCATGTGGGGACACCTCTCCAGGCCCCTCTCACTCATTGTGATATATCCAGTTGTCTCCTGTGCTGCCAAAGAAGGTACTTTTAGAAGGTCTGAACATCTTGTGTGTAATTTAGAATCTCCTCAGGGGTATTTGGATCCTGCCAAGCTCTAATTTTGCTTTGCTTAATTGCAGATTTGGTTTGTTTTCTGTATGATGCTGAGAAATGCCTGGGAACTCACCCTGCTCACCATCAGTCCCTTTGCTTGTTTATCTTCTGCTTTCTTCTGATTTCGTATCACTTCAAATCAGTATTAATTCTTCCCCCCTCTTTCCTGAAGTTTTGACATAATGATTTTTTGCAGTAATTACTGTTGGTGACCACTGTGTCATTTGCTGATATACTCTGCCCTTTACCATTCAGAAGTAAAGCATTTCTGGTGCGTTTTTTTACACCAGATTTTCCTCCTCTGCTTTGTCCTTTGTCCTCCTCTGCATTTCCTTGTAAATAACTTCTGGTGCTGTTTTTCCATGTGTGTCTGGGCTTTTCCAGGCCTGCTTAGTGAACCAACTCTGTGTCTGTTTCTTGCAGGCTGCCTTTGGAGACCTTCTTAATGATGTCTGTGCACATCTCCAGGTCTTGGGTGGTAAGCGAAGTTCCTTGGAGCATTTCTGAGCACTGCCCTGGCATCTTGGTATTGTCTCTGCTGCCTATTAAGGACAGGCTCTTTTCCCTCTGCTGTAATCCCACAGATCCTACAAGGCTCTCTGAAACAAGTGACTGAATTTGTCCTGGTGGTTGTTGTGCCCCTGCCTTAACCGGGAGGTCCCAGGGATACATTTTCCTGGTGCTCTCATGCAGGTGCTGGTTGTGTGTGTGCAGCAGAGGAGCTGCAGTGTGTCCCTCTGCACGTAGGCACACACAGCTGGCAGCTGCTCCCCCTTCTCCTCGACGTGACTCCAATCAGCAGCTTTTGTCACTGGCCTCAGTAGGAGCAGGGCTGGCTGGGTAGGGGCATGGAGCTCTTTAGAGCACCAGGATGCTGTTGGGAACAGTGCTGAAGTGCTGGGAAGTGACTGGGAACATGATGGCAGTTGCAGAGCTTTTGAGATGTACAGTCAGAGCTACAAGTGAGTGAGACCCAAAAGCCACTGGTCACTCTTGGAGGTGATGTGAGGCTGTGTTTTGTTGCGGGCAGAACAGTGTGATGGGAGTTGGGCTCAGCTCTGCTACCACCTTGCTGAGTGCCTTCAGTCTTGTCACTGTGCTTCC